TCGATTTGGAAAATGTTAATTATCATGCTCGACGTGAAATCCACATTAGTGGACGGTAATTTCAACATTTCTGATAATATTTTAGTTGAGTTTACTGAAATTATCTGGTGAGTTTTATGAACTGTATAAGTCAAAAAATGTGGTGTTAACAGCAGATAATATATTGGAAATTCATATATAAGGACAACTGCCATATTATTCATATGCATCTGTAACATCAGACATTGGCAAGCTAGAGAATATTCAGAACATACATAAATGAAGCTATATTTCCAAAATCATAAATGACCAATGTCACAATAATGTGTTCATTAATCAGGGTGTTTAACAAAAACACTTAATTGTTTTTCATATCTAGGATACCTGCTGAAAAGTGATTGATTCAGCTGTCAAAGTCAACCTACTCTACAAGTATTTTACTTTTTCTAAAAGTGGTAATGATATTTACGATTCTCATATATTTCAAGCTCTCCAAATGAAACTTACACAATGACTCAGCGGTTGCTATATGTATGTGTTTCACAACGAAACACTAACTAACCCTACACCAAATGCTGAAACTTTTCATGGGAATAAAGTCTAACTGAATATTATTCAAACATGCACCCGTTATATTCGCAAAGTTATTGTCGAAAAAATGCTTATTACTCACCCCGTTTTTTTGTTGATTTTTTAGAATTTAAACGTAAGGACGGACACGAATATACCCTATAATGGCGGCATCATTACATTTAGGTCACTATGATCAATTTGCGCGCGACTCAATTGATTTTGTTCCGAAGACCCGGTAGAGTGACGTCACTCTCTGTGAAAATGCTTGGAAATGTAGGAAATATTGGGCCATCTGCTGGAAAGATAACGAGTTAAGTGGAAACTCGTGTCCGAAAGATTTCTGTTAGACACATTATTTGGCATGTGATTGTTTCTCATTCCACATTGGATATAAGAAATAGTATATACCATGATTTGTTATTTGATGATGACAAAGGTTATATGTTAGATAACATAATGTATGTCCGAGATAAGAAGGGCCAGCATGGAAAAATCAAAAATCGTGAGAGATGGAAACTCGGTTGAATAGGAAATGGTTGTGATGCATTGTTTGGAGCCTTTGTTGTAGTAATGAATATTATGGGAAGTCCCTTAGTAGCAGACACCTAAGATTTTCAGGAAATAAAATAAAAACTTCTTCGAGAAATGTAACTCAAGTCAAGTCGACCAATTATAAAATCAAAATCAATTAACTGAAATACAACTTTTGCTTAAATATATTCAGGAACTTCAATTAAGCTCGTCGACGGCTTGGGACTGCTGATTATTAGTTCGTTGATAGATTCTCTAGGAGTGACTGTCAATTCTTCAGAGACCAAATCGTTGGACAGTTGTGCATCGCAGAACGTCACGGAAACTTTCCCGCTGCAACTTGGTAGGTACGTTTACGGAAGTTTCTGGCTAGTGGAATATTGGTCATGTCTGTAGCCAAATATTCCACGTCAGAAAATAAATGTCTATCATATGGGTAAATTCCTGTGCATTTAAACACAGACACCGCAATATCCAGCCGAGCTACTTTAGTAAACGCTTCTTTGACCAGACCAGCAATATCGTAGTCGGTTATCCGAGATCCAGCGTTTGCTCTCATTCACATGTCGCATCGTGGGTTATGAGCATCTTTGAATGGCTTCATGAATGTTCTGTCCAGCGTTTGGAGCTTGTGGGTGGTGTGTGGTGGTGAGCTCATCACATGAACGTTGTTTTCTCGGCAAAAATTGATAACCACCAGTGTCTTGCGGCTGCAATGGCCATCCAGTAGGAGCAGCACAGGGCTTCTTTTTGCCGAGTGAGTATTTAACGAATATCTGCAACCATTGTACGAAAAAGTCACAGTTCATCCAGCCGTTTGGCTGAGCCACGCCAACGCTTTCGGCTGGAGCATTGATTATGAGCCGATCATCCATCCTTTGCCTAGGAAAGACAAAAAATGGCGATATGAAGTGGCCGATGGCACTCATACAAAACAAAAATGTTATAATTTTGCCCGTTTCAGCAGAAGTGAACTTTCCCACTTGACGGACAGCCTTCGGAGCGATAACTGTTTGATGTTTTTGCATGCAGCTGACTCCGTTTTCATCACAGTTATAAATGTTAAAAGGTGGAAATCTGTACTGTGTTATTAGTCTTTTCATGTATCGACTTACGGTTTATTAAACCCTACGGCTCGCATCATGCTTGTCGACTCTGGTGCTCGCAATGAAATGTCCGGATGTTTCTGCATGAAATCATAATAAAAATGCTTTCCGGCAGCTTGCTCCTCTTTGTTGAAATGATGGGGGATCTTCATTGCTTCAGCCAAGTCGAAAGCTAACTTCAGAAACTCCTCCTTCGGGTAAGAAGGTATTAGTTGATCTACCAAGCTTTGGTTGCAACGTTACTTCTTCTCCATGGTTCAATGCCGATGTTTCATCATGTAGAGTGCTTTTTGGGATATTGTAGCGTAGTGAAGCATCCCTCAAACTCATTTCTTTAGGACAAAACCTTATCTATCGCAGTTTGTAAACTCTTTTGGTTTCATTTTTCTTTCTTTTTCGTCTCTTCCATTTCGATTTATCTCCGTTCTTCTATCCTCTGAAACAACTTATGATAATTATAATAATAAATATAGATGCTTAGTAGAAAAAACAACTAATAAACTTTCCGGTGTTAAGGGACATCTTTGTGACACAGGACCCCAACATTACGTGTTTTATAGTAAAACTGTTTAGAAAATTAATAGAAACTTTCATTGTTGACTTTCATGGGTTCACTATCTTTCTTGGCAATTAAAAGAAATCCTCAAATACAAAACTATAGCAGTAATACTTACTTAAAATATATGCGACGCAGTGCTTTTCAGCAATCAACTGCTACCAACGAGGATTTTCGCGTCACTGGCGAATCGCGTCCCGTGTCCCTGTATCACTACTTTTTCCGCGCCCCTCTCATCGATTTTGAACCGAACGCGTTGTAACTTGTCGGGATAGCGCGAGTGTCCGACGCTACGTGCCGTCCGGCGTTGGGGGCATTTCCCCTACTGGAGTTTAAATCCCAACACCAAACCGTTATTTCAACACCTTGACCCATATTTCGATCACCAAGTGATCATCTTCGAAAGGAATATCAAACTAGGAAACTAGGAAATGGTTGTCCATTCTGGAGCTTATTCGAATGACGTATCTAATAAAATTTATAAAATTTCAATTATTTCCGGAGATATTCGAAAAGTACCACAATTCACCAATTAAGTTTTGATTTTTTTCCCAGCGTTATTCAAAGAGATATCATTGATAAGGAATATTTCAGAATAGACAGGAAAAACCATTCAGTACCTTCTCATCCAAGGGAAAGGTAACAACAGCTTTCTGTACATTATACACAACAGTTCTTCTACCTTCCCCATGCCATAATTCTGATAAGCACATTCGAAATCTGGAAAGACTGCTCAACTCAAAAGAGTATGTTTGGGTTTTCATCAACTTTCCATTGCACAAACACATTTTCAACACTTCGCGGTAAACACTAAAAAACAGTATTGCTGGAAATCAAACGTCATCTGGACTTAATTCAAAACGAATGTAATAAAATTATCATGATATATCAATTGTTATCAGTTCCCTTCATATATTGAAACGATAAGTAGTATTCAATAATGAAAGCTCATTCAACTGAATTTTAGTTTTCATGAATTTCATGAATAAAGTGATAGTAATTTTGCGTTGGCACTCTAAGACTTTTTGCTGAATATGTTCCGAATTGATGAAAAAATCAAATATGTTCACTGTAAAATAGATCGTGGAAGAAAATGCAATTCTACCAATTGTTCTATTTGTCAAACCATTCGAAACGGCTGTTCTTCGTTTTTACACTTCATTGCAGTGATGTCTTATTTTTTCAATTTCCCATCGTCAGCATTTCTCATTCATGTGGCCTTTCAAGAGCGCATGTTCGCTGTTTTTTCTTTTTACTTCATAAAAATATATTCTCACTATTATTCAAACAATATTCCTTCTTATTTTATATTAATCTACTTGCGATAAATTTCTATGTTGACGACCAATCAACATCCAGTTCAAGCTCTAAATGTCTCTTTGCCATCATGGCAATCTATCTCATTATATTGAAAATGTGAAAGGATTAAGACGGAAAGTTGAAAATTCTGTAATTCTGCCATTGAAATGGCTACTATACCACCAATATTGAAGAATAACTGAAGAATCCACAACTGCTTTCTGTTTCAATGGCCTTTGTCAGTTCTTCTGATAGACATTATTATTTCAATATTGCATTACAAATGTCATTTCCACAATCCCACAACTCTCATAAGTTTCGTACCCCAAAATAGGAATCTTTTGGTAACTATTATCTACAAATTGATGGATACAGCCGTTGCTACTACGTGGTAGATCATCATGGAAAATGAGAAATAAAACTTACTATGTATTTATACCTCTTGTTTTTTGTCCTGGTTCTGATGTTGATGTAATTCGAGGTGATTTTTCTTCTTAGGCACTCTTGGTTGAACCATAAGTTCTGCGATGCATGATGGTACTTCATTTTCAGTTTAAAGTAGTACGTGGCTTGTCTAGCTGTACTCGCTTCTTCCAATCAAGTTTTATTTCTCATTTATCATAATGATCTCCAACCCCATCCATCAATTCATTGAAAGAAGCAAGTACAGCTAAGACAAGCCACATACTACCGAATGTTCGTCATTAACTCTACTTTTAATTAATGTAGCCTCTAATTTGAAATCGGCAGACGTCACACATTCACCTAGTTGAAGAAACGATACGTAGCTGGGGTCAAAAAATTGAACATAATTAGAATTTTCCATTAGGAAAGTGCCCTAACATGTACATCATCGGAAATTTATATTGTAAAGTATAATATTATGTTCTTCGATAAGCCGGACAATAATTTGCTAATCAATGACGTTTTATAACTAATACTTGATAGTAAATTGAAGAGTTTTGTTTGTTATTTGTACAACCACAGGTTTCATTGCATGTAAGTCTAAATTGATTTTTCGGTAGACGATCATAAAAAATTCATCTGTGACTGCGTTTCTGGCATCGGTAAGTTTATTGACTAGCAATTTGAATATTTTAGCTATAAACAACTCACATTCGGGGTAATATAGATTTATTCATCAGAAATGGTATATTACGTACAAACCAGGCCGTTTGAGAGTTTTAATACAAACCAATCATCCAGATAAATCTAAAATGAAACGTGAAATTGGTAATCTCAATACGAACATTAAACGAATATATATTAATAACATAAAGACGTAGCAATAATGTATTCACATGTATTATTATTCACATGTATTACCATCCTCGACCCTCTTTAGCAAGATATTAAATCCATTATGAAGAGAGGAAATATCTCATTTATTGTAGCTACACATAACCCATATCAGGAAGATACAAACCAATAAATCTAATTTCTTCACCATCAACATGAGATTCGTTGAAAAGTTGTATGCTGTAATAAACATCATACATATAGTGAATAGCAGTGAGATCAACAAAATGTCTAGGCCCTTACAAAAACGTAAGAGTAGCAGAAGTAATATAATGAAGCGCAGAAGGAACACACATCTTTATTATTTATTTCTTGGAATTTTCAATTCCGAAATTTCGACTTTAACATCGAAATTTCGAGATTAAACTTGAAATTCAGATTTTCATCCCTAAATTACAATTATAATTTTGAGTTCGGAGTCGAAATATCGATATATATGATATCAAATTTTTTTTACAATATTACCTTTACTAAAAACGGATTTTGCTACACAGTAGCTTCCGTAAATGAAATGCGTCTTTAGTAAATTCTATAGAGTGAACATTTTTTAATTATCATGGCTAGTGTTGTTACTGTTCCTAAAGTAACGGTTCAGTGTATCAATAAATAATTCGGAAACAAATTAACCTATACTCTCCATCTTTTCGAGAATATTTATTATTGAAAATGTGTATATGAATATATTGACTGTTTCATCAAAGACAGTTCACCTTCTCATTATTTATAATGAATGAATGAATTTTATTGATACAAAGAAACATTACATGTTTATAGTAGAGTTAATGTAACATATAATTCGAAAAAAAAAACATACTAAGAATAATTCAACCAATAAAAATATGTGAAACTACAAAACTGACAATCTATTTCAAGGTATATTCTTTATTCACTTTTTTATATTGTTAGGTATTTTATTATTTAAATTAACTCCTTCATGAAAAATACATTTTAGACCAAATTTACTTTTGTGTGGTTGTAAAACTATATTTCGTATTTGCCGTAAATTATGGTCATGAATTAAATTGATTTCAAAATATTTCCTTGCCCAAACGAGCAAGACGTCTCCCCTTACGAAAACGCCATCTATGGGATCGACAGGGAACTCAATCCTCGAATATCATAGATCAGGGGTTCCCAACCGGTGGTACGCGTACCACCAGTGATAGGCGGGAACGTTTCAGGTGGTACGCGTGAGTGATGTGAGCAACATGCTGTTAATAGCAAACATGACTCAGCTCACGGGTCGCTAGAAAAACGAAATACCCATAAACCAGTGAACGGCCTGACATCTTTGTTTTTCTATTACATTGGAATTTATAATTCCTAGGTAATGAAACAATAAAACACTTTAGGATTTTACCTAGGAATCCCCAGATAGTACAATTGGTAAACAAAGGGCGTTTCATTTTTTACTTGGGGGTTTTTAAAAGGATTGTCTTTTACTTTTACTTACATTATAGGTTCGTTGTGGGTGTTGTAATTATTAATTCTGATTTTGTATAATAAAACTGAACTATGAAACAATTTCTGACGTCCTCTTCTACTTCAAAGGATTGTGCTAAAAAACCTAAATTACCGACCAATCGTAAATACGATGAAATCTACTTACACTACGGTTTTATAGTGAAGCCAGGGTCTAAAACCAGTGACATTCCTATTCCTCAATGTGTTGTATGTCTTGAAACACTTTCGAACCAATCCATGAAGCCTTCTTTACTGATGCGACACCAAAATACTAAGCACCCTGATTTGATTGGTAAGCCCATTGAATTTTTTAAAAGAAAATCTATTTTTTTAAGGAAGAAACCCAATGTTTGACGAAATTTTTCAATACTGATACTAACTTGATAAAGGCTAGTTTAAGAATTGCAAAAGATGGAAAGCCTCACACAATAGCTGCGACGCTTTTACTGCCGGACGCTGTGGATATGGTTCAAGCCGTGTTAGGAGAAAAGGCAGCCAAAGAAATTAAAAAAAATATCACTGGTAATAACACAGTAAAAATAAGAATTGACAATATGTCTAGTGATATTGACGAACAACTGGCTTTAAAACTCCAAGAATGCACTTATTTTGCACTTTAAGTTGACGAAATCACTGATGTTACAAAGATTGCGCAGCTACTTGTTTTTGTGCGATATGATTATAATGACGAGGTGATAGAAGAGGTTTTTTCTGCAAACCACTTGAATCAAATACCACAGCGGAACTCAGTTTTAACGTAATTGATGTATATGCGCTCAAAGTAGGCATTCCCTGGTCCAAGTGTATTGGCTTGTGTACAGATGGGGCAAAAACTATGTCAGTAAAATTGACAGGGCTAGCAGCAAAAATGAAGGGAGTTGCTTCTGAATGAAAAAGTACGCATTGTGTCATCCATCGAGAAGCATTAGCTGTTAAAGGTATGCCGGAAAATCTTAACTCCGTTCTAAACACAAGATTATTCTTCTTGATGTGTGAAGAAATGAGTGGCAAGTTACAAACTTTTCTCCTGCCTATAGAAGTGAGTTGGTTGTCTCGTGGGAAAATTTTGAACCGTCTCTTTGAACTGAGATCAGAAGTTTTCATGTTTTTAAGTGAAAAAAATCATGGCATGAAAAAATTATTTTCTGATGAAGAATGATTGTCAAGATTGGCTTACCTAGCCGACATTTTCGACAAACTCAACACATTGAACTTGGGACTTCAGGGACAAAACACAACAGCCTTCACAGCCAATGACAAAATAAACCTCTTCAAGAGAACGTTGGTCCTGTTTTGTTCATAAATACAGGAGGAGAATTTATCTGCATTCCCCACTCTATCATCATTTTTTGAAGAAAATGAAATATCTCCAATTCCAGATGTGATATCATTGTTCAGTTGGAAGGCTTTCAAAAAAGCTTTAAGAAGTCTTTCTCTGAAGATTATTCAAAAGTGGACTGGATCAGAAATAATTTTTCGGGAACCTCACCAAATGAATTGGAACTAAAAGAAAGTTTTATCGACCTTACAGAAGATTCCATGAAAGATTATTTTAAAGAGAAATCTTTACCTTTAAGGGTTGCTCTTATACATCATGCAGCTATCGTGGACGTATTAATACACGGTTTATCTTTTATTTTCAGATGAAATAATGTCTGCAGTGCCTAAATACGGTTTCTGTGCAGAAGATGTAATAAAGGAGGGTCGAACAACGAAATCCAATATAGAAGCTGTAAAAAAATGGTTGTCCTACAATACACACATCCCTCCGATGTCTGATGAACAAATTGTACTATTTTTGTTAGCATGTGATAATGATGTGGAATTTACGCAAAGGACGATTGAAAATTTTTTCAAGCAAAAAGCAGCTTCTCCTGAATTATTTGCCAATAGAGACATAGATTTGAAAGAAAATCAGTACCAACATACTATTACGTAAGCAATCCTATACTGTTAATTCACTGGTTGGAAGGATAATTAATCATTTGTTCATTATTCAAGTTCATATTTTCATATGTCTCTAAATGAATCAAATCACCGAAACATGCTTAAAAATTATAAATCTAGCTCACTCAATTCAGAATCCAAATAAAGTTTTTTAACGATGAATAGAAACTCCATTTCCATCAAATTCCTCCCAAAGAATTTTGAAAAAGACTTAATAATGTATTGCACCTCCTTTATTATATGAATCGCTCATCATTTCTCATATGGTCAATTTCGTCTTGTAAATCTTTCNGACATTGCATAGATATCGCCAAGAATAATACATACCTGCAAGAATTTTGACAACAAAAATTATAGAAATTCAATCATAGGAATGAAGTCATTTTCAAAAGTGTGAACACATCTTAATGGAACAATCAAAGAACACAACATGGATAACCAGTTGGGTAGAGACATACTTATTGACATTAATTTTCAAGACGTCCAAATTTCTGGCTCAAATATAATTGAAATGAAGAAAATTGAATGCAAAAGTTGCAATTTCCACTGAAATTAAAGTAGAGGCAATTTTGATAACCACTTCCATGAGACGAGATACTGAAGTATCAATTGTATGGACTCTCAAACAATTTAAAGTTATTGAAAGTTTGTTACTGTTGATGAAATATATTAGTTTAATTGAGATTCTTCGTAGTAATCTACCATAGAACTCATCAATGGTCATGATTAATGGATGCAACTATTTAATTCCTGCTTCCTTAATAAGAACTGTGCATGCGTAGTAAAAGGCAATCAACTGTAAACTCAAAATACGAATACCAAGGATATCAACTTCCTCTTTTCCTCTGCATCTGTCACCGCAATTAGACCACTAGTTACGCTATCTAATCTAAGATAAAAAATGCACTGCTTTGGCATCATCTAGTTGCCTACTTGTAGCGAAAACTGCAAAGAGTGGCAGAAAACGACTCCAATTCAGCGGTCGATATTTTCGCTTCACTTTTCAACGGTCCGTTTTTGATAGTCCTTTTTCAATATTCACGTTTGTATTTTTATGGCGATTATTATTTTGGATACACAACATGGTAGATACACCAGGAACTCAACTTTGTGAAAACTTTCTTTCGTTTTTCGTTTTTCGAACGAATATGGTCTACAGCAAATTGAATTCAGCCTAAAATAGCACCACTTTCAGGTAGTCTAGTGCTTGTGTTTATTTAAGATCTGAATGTTAAACTCTTTTCTGAAAAAGTGTTTCAAATGTAACAGGTAGTTATTATTGTGGCAAGAATTTTTAAATGTGTTTTTTTTTGCTGAAAAAAGTAAGTTTTTCGAACTCTCTCTCCTATTTCAGAAGCCAGAGATGCAACAGCGTAATCGTTCTAAACAATACGTTTAAGAAATAAGTCTGATCACCAATATACATCAAAATGTTTCAATTTTCAGCTATTTCACAATATTTCCAAAAAGAACGAAGGAAAACTGCGTAGTTACATGTGGATCATTGAGAAACACAACATATTACAAATGGAGTATAGAACCCCAAATCAAAACAGCATTTACTCTCATCGATACTTCCCTGTACTCTAATCCTCCAAACGGACTAATTTTCATCCTAGACCTGAAAGGGGTAATGTATTATATTTTATCTACTAATAAGTGATTAACTGTAATATGTAAAACTAATTATTACATCACCACTCTACAAAGTACAAAAATTACTTTACTATATTCCAACTGTGTTTTTATTTTGTTTGCCCTCGATTTATTGATTTTCTCAGAGAAACTAACCTCCAGTACTTTCTTCTGTTTTTTTGGGTAAATAACCTTTCACAATCTGAAAAATTAACGTATGTCAAATAAATAAGAGCCATCACAATTTGAGGCGAAAGTTTCAGAGTGAATTTCAGGTTTTGAAACGAAAAAAGATTGTTTATAATTTGTATAATTGTCCCATATAGGTCATTTCGGTTTGTTATGAAACGTTTGCCCTCTTCTACACAACTCAAAATTGTCAACATAACATTAGAAAATTCGCTGGTATCTATATTTAAGTTGAATCTAGGAAACGTTATGTGCTTCAATTTCATAAAAAGTCTACAGTCTAATATGAATAATTTGTAAATATTCTTTAAACGAATTTTTTTGTGGAGGACTCATTGTTTTATACTGTTTATTTTTTGGATTTATATTATATATATATTCATTTAGCTTTTATTTTTCCAGATTGTGGAAGGTTAT